TAAACCTACCCTCACCTGTTCAATATGGATAATTCTTCCCCTGATTACCTCCTAGGGTTGTCGGCCCCTTTCTTAGTTCCTCTCTGTTGCAGGGGGTTGGTGGATTGGTCTGTCTACAGCAAGTTACATCTGGCTTTTACTGTGGCAGAGATTGGTCTCAGGACTTAGGACTCTAAGCCAAGAGATGCTTCATCTGTAGAGGCAGCCTGTGTTCCAGAAGGTACAACCTTCTGATATGACCAAGTCCAGAGTCATTTTCCACAGCCCTGAATCCATGCTGCACTAAATAGAGAACCTAGACCTTCCTGGCAATCATTCCAGGCAAATCCTTTGGTGAGAACCAGAGGCCACTGCACAAGAGCCATTGCTTTCACTGATTCACCTGGAGTTCACCCAGGTGGACACAGCCACGGATGGGGCTGACGCGGCTTCACGAGCAGCAAGCCAACCATGTCTCAGACTTCGCATTCTCTTAGCTTCATGGCAGAGAATACCCCCCGAGCTGGTGGTGATGCAGTGAATTTCTCCTCATGTTTCCTCCCACTCTCATCAACTTTTCCTTAGCACACCACTCTGATAGAAAAGCTATTTTTAAGGATGAATTAAACCTATGCATTATGTTTACTCAAATTTTTACTATCTGAGGCCACTTAACAGTCTTCAGGAATAGACCAAGGTGTCTGAAAAATAGAGAAAGTTCAAGAAATTATTTTAACAAGTGTCTTATCTCTTTCTTAGGCTAAGGCTTAGTCGCTAAGTCGTGCCTGACTCTTGCGATCCCATGGGTTGTAATCCACCAGGCTCCTCTGTTCATGGAATTTTCCAGGCAAGAATACTGGAATGAGTGGCCATTTCCTTCTCCAGGGGGAGCTTCCCAACACAGGGATCAAACCTGCGTCTGCTGCCCTACAGGCAGATTTTTTACCCACTGAGCTACCAGGGAACACCATATTCTAATTTCTTTCTTACTCCACCTGTTAAGCTAACACAGGGCTACACTCATTTTCTCTTCCCCAAGGATAAAGAGGAGTGTGATGGCACACTCTCCTTCTGTAAGAACAGGCCATGTTGGCATTCTGGTTTGTCTCTCCTGGGAATCTGATGAAAGTGCAGTATCAGCTGGGTTGTAACATGTCCTAAGTTGGAGGTGACCCCTAATGGTGAGTGCTTTACTATGAATACTGCTGGGAGGCTGTAGCATTGGGCTTTCTTAGTCCGTTGACTCTTGTGAACATGTCTGACTTTTGTGGGGACCCTGAAAACTGGGCCAAGAGGGACGCACTACTGTGGATTTCATCTCCTTGTTTCTGAGCTATCACTTGGGGGCTGAGAGACTAGCCCTGAACTACAACAGGTGAGGACTCACTTGCAGAAGAAAGCTGCACCTACCTGAGGAGCCTGTGCTTCCTGTCTATAGTCCTCTAAATGAATCTGGTGCCAAACATGCTCCCTGGTAGTTCCATCAGTCTGAATGTCTAGCTGAGCCTAAGAATAAAGAGATGCCACCCGATATTCCCTTCCAGAGAGCCCTTAAAAAGCTATTTTTACATCTACTTGTACAGTGCTATGTGTTTCTCCTCAACTGGCCAGAACACAGCAGAGAAATGACTGTTACTTATATTTCATCCTTAAAGCCATCATCCTTACTCTTGGTCATCATCACCATCAACAAAATCATCATCATCGCAACCACCACAAGAATCTATGCACTCCAGCTCCTGCCAGTCACCTCCCTTCTTCTTATCTAGAGCACATATTGCACACATGTGTGCTCAGTTGCTCAGTCGTGTCTGACCCTTTGTGACCCCATGGACTGTAGCCTACCAGGCTCCTCTGTCTGTGGGATTCTCCAGGCAAGAATACGGGAGTGGGTTGCCACTTCCTTCTCCAGGGGATCTTCCTGACCCAGGGATCAGACTCAGGTCTCCTACATCACTGGCGGATTCTTTACCACTGAACCACCAGGGAAGCCCAGAGCACATATTACTCCCTTTTTAAATTTTTACAGGTGAGATAGTCTAACTATAAATATATGTGACCACTTTTGGATGGCACTAAAAGAGATGAGGGTCCCTATGCATTCCCCTCCCATCTAATCATGGTTTCCAAGCAGTCACTGGCTGTCAGACCGGATGATTGGCTAGCTCATGGTGGGGCTGTGCACCTGGGAAGGATGTTTTCCTGAAGGCTTGGAAGGAAGGAAAACAATGTGAAAACTCACAGCATTTGGCTCACTCTGCTTTTCCCATAATCAGAGTGACTGAGGGTCACATGTATACAAGATGGGAGAAAAAGTGGGCCAATGCCGGGCAGCAGGCAGGCAGATAGAGGAGCCATGGAAGAGACAGAGAAGGAGATGGTCCCAAGGAGCCCTCCTCAGAGGAGACACCATGAGGAGGAGAGACCAGAGTACCAGGTGGGCCAGAGTAGGGGTGCTGGGGGGCTCAGAGCCACGGGGTGCAGCCTGCCACGAGGGCCCCTCCTGGACATGGGCCCATGTGCACTGGGAGTCTCAGGTGGCATCTGTGGGTTTCCCGGTGCTGCTGCAGGAGTCCTGCTCTCTGATGCAAGAGGATAATAGAAAGAGCCCTGGATGGCCAGTTGGGAGACCTTGCTTCTAGTCCCAGCTGAGCAATCGTGAGCTATCACTTCCCTTCTGTGGGTCCCCTGTTCTCTCAACTTCAAAACAAGGGAGTTGTCTTGACTGGTCCCATGACCAAGTCTCTTCTATGTCCAGTTCTCCCAGTTTTCAAATCTCTGGAGCCCTGATTGGGAGATAGAATTTCTCCTGCTCTCTCTCACTCATGCTGGCCTCCAGGGCAGGAGCTTATTGGTGACATCGTTGGCCCACAGCTTGTGGGCAGAAGGGCCACAGTGCCAGTACTGAGTGGAAGCTCGAAAACTCTGTGAGTTTCACTCATCCTCTTGTGCTCCTGCACTTGGTGGGAAGACTACACCCCAGTAGTTCCTGCCCCTTTAGCCTGGGCCCTGTCATAAGGAGACACTCAGGCCTGAGCCCAAAGCAATCTCAGAAGCTAAGTCCAGCCAAGCCTGGCAGAACCAAATCATCTCATGGACCCATGAACGGGACATAAATGCTTGCTGTGAGGCAGTACAATTTCGGAGCTGTTTGTTACTGCAACCAAAGCTGACTAATACACCACGTGACAGGAAAATGTGTCTCACAGACGCACACTCCCGGGACTCATCAAAGACCCGCCTGAAGGATAATGAAGGGCAGCTGGAAGGGCCCCACAGGAAGGCTTCCACTGCTTCCCCCTTCTTGCCAGAGCCACACACCTCCATATGGAGACGCACCTGGTTTTTGGCATCAACAACTCGCGCCTCAGCAGGGGTAGGAAGGGAGTCTGGTGGGAAAGGAAACTAAATTAGAATGCCTCAATGACAGATTCCTCCCCATTCACAGTCCTCTCTCTTCTATAGGCCTCCAAGCCCGGGCAGTCTGGTTCTTTCACTGCCTAGGTGCTGCCATTAAAGGGCTCTTGAACTTGGGAGTTGACGTACTGGTTTAGCCAGCATGGAGAGGCAGCAAGACACTTAGACAGGTTTACAAGTTCCAGCATCACTAGCCTCTGGCTGCTGTAATCTGTATGCAAGCCTCTGTGATCCCTAATATTAAAGGGCCCTGAAGAAAATGAACACCCTCTCAGTCCAATTCTAGCTGATAGATGTTTTCTTGCCAGACAGAGCAGTGTAGCCTATTTGAAAGAAACCCAAACTAACACCCAGAGAGGACCGCTGTGGAGCTCCGGTGCTGTTGGCACTATGGCCCAGGGGATAACCTGAGTGTATATGACCAGCGCTTCAACGTGCTTCCTCCACTCAGAGGAAACCAGGGCCATTCCCCACCTCCCCAGTCATTTGGAGGAAGACTCCAGAGTTGACAGCCATAGTCATCTGCTGGGAAAAACAGAAGCCCTCCAACAGCCAGCCTAATGTAATGGGAGAGGAGGGAACATACACTTGGGAATGGTGTAAGGGAGCAGGCAGGAACTTACAGTGGTGGGATTCTAACCTTCTTCTAAAACACTGAAAGCTTTAAAGCAAAACCTTACCTGGGAACAGACACATGTGTATATCGATGAAAGTACAGAAGCTAGGGGTGAAGCAGGGATGAGGATCAGAGCCCGTCTGTACGGCATCTCATTCCCCAGGCCTTAAAGTGGCTCTTGAAGTAGTGCATGGAACCCCTGAACTACATACACTTTGAAAACCCTAGATTAGAGAAATCTTGGGTATTAATAGGCTTAAAGAAAGCCGAAAAAAAAAGGGGGAGCAAGGTATCATCATGACTGTTTCTGGACATTTTGCTGTGAAGAGAATGGAATTAAATGTATAGGCCTCCTTTGTCCTGACTTGGCAGCTGTGATACACAATGGATAAGAGGCCTTTCACAACTTGCCAAAGGCAGGTAGACTGACCAACTGATTTTTCTCAAATATTCTTAGAGGCTAACCTCCTCATCTTCATCTTCAACTGGGCAGGACAGAGTTTCCTGAGAAAGATTGAGGTCTCCTGTCTTTGTCCTGCCTCCTCCTACTCCCTACATGCCCCTCAAATCTAAGCCATGGCCCCTCTTGAGCTCACAAATCTCAAGCCTGGTGCCATCTCTGCTTTGACCTTTTCAACCTTCAAGAGGGAGGGACCCTGGGGGAATGTGTCTAATTCACCAGCACATGGCTCCCCACTTCCTATAGAGATGAGCTTCCAAACCCACCTATGCACACCACGTCCATGAATCCACACATCCCGGAGACCCACCTATGCATACCACGTCCACGAATCCACACGTCCAGTAGACCCACTATGCACACCACGTCCATGAATCCACACGTCCAGTAGACCCACTATGCACACCACGTCCATGAATCCACACGTCCAGGAGACCCACCTATGCACACCACATCCATGAATCCATACATCCAAGAGACCCATCTATGCACACCACGTCCATGAATCAACACGTCCAGTAGACCCACCTATGCACACCACGTCCATGAATCCATACATCCCATAGCAGATCTGGAAGAGGAGGTCTTGGCGCTGCCATTTTGCTGAGGGGCTGAAGGTCGACCAGATGAGCCAAGAGATGCTGGCGATGAGGAAGAGGGAACCCAGGATGGCAGCTGCAATCTGAACCTTCTCGATGACTGTCAGAGAGATGGCCTGCCACTGCAGGGAAGAGAATGGCGGGTCAGTGGTGGCCTGCACGCCCTCACCGCATTTCCACCCCATCCACATCCCCTCCTCCTGCTGCTGCCCCAGCCTCTCACCTCTGGATTTAAACCAGGGCTTACCAACGTGTGATACGGTGGCTCTTTTTGCGAGTTTCTGAGTGTTAACTTTGTGCTTTTGATGTGGAAGAAACCTGTATCACACCAAATGATCAGAAGTCATTTCTGGGAGGGGGCTCTGGGTAGGTGAGGCTGAGAAGGAAAGTCCTTGAGGTTGATTATGATGCAGACAGAAAACTGGGAAGGAGAAAGTGGAAATGCAGAGTGTAGGTGGTGTTCCAGGCCCCCAGAATATTCTTTTCTGAGCAACACATTATTTTCTCACTAATAGGTGCTAAGAGGGCACAGGTCTTTTTTTTTTTTTTTTTGTTGTTTTCTACATCAACACCTGGCATGTCATTTAATATACATGATAGAGATTACCAATTCAACAGACAAAGAGAGGCCGCAGGATGTCAGGGAGAGAGAAGAAAAACAGTATAATTCACTGACTGTGTACAAACACTGAAATTTCCGTGTTTTTCTTTTTTCTTTTTTTTAACAGAAAAGCACTATGCTAATAGCTGTATTGATGGATGGATTGAAGGCTAGAGTGTGGGTGGGTTTCCACTCTGAAATTCTATGAGCCTATGACTGATCCAGGTAGCACAGGCCTAGATGAGCCATGAGTTGGATTTTAGTTTGGGATTTATTCATGCTCTTGCTCAGCAAATGTGTACTAGGTGTTTTTGTGTGTGCACCTGCTAGGTGTTGAATATAAAGCAGTAAGCAAAAACAGGCAGACTTCTGCCTTCATGGAACTTCACATTTAGAGGACACAGACAGACATATGATTATTTACAATGGCTACCCATCATGACATGTGAGAGCCTATGATAGGGGATTTCACTTCTTAGAGGAAGCAATGAGTTGAGTGGGAGTTTACTAGATAAAGAGAGGAGGCATATGTGTCCAGCAAGGAGAAGAGCATGTGCAAAGGCCCTGTGACAGAAGAAAGCAGGGTAAGTATGAAAACCTGGAAGAAGACCAGAGAGGGTGGAGCAGAGAGCCGGGAGTGGGGTAAGACAACTGGGAAAGGAAGAAGGAAGACCACACTGGAGCCTAAAGAATGTGCAAAGACTTTTAAAAACTTTTTTGTAAGAATAAACACGATACTCTTGATCAGTTTGCAGCAGGGAAATGACAGGATCAGGTTTGGGAAGGTGGCATATGTGCATGCTCTGTTGTGTCTGACTCTTTGCGACCCTGTGGACTGTAGCCCACCAGGCTCCTCTGTGCATGGGATTTCTCAGGCAAGAATACTGGAGTGGGTTGCCATTTCCTTCTCTAGGGGATCTTCACAGTCCAGGGATCAAACCCACATCTCCTGCATTTGAAGGCAAAGTCTTTACCATTGTGCTACCTGGGGAGCCCTTCAGAAGGTGGAAGGACTATCCCCTGATTGTAGCAGTTTGTGTAATGCCCTGCAGAGAGTGCCTAGTAGGCATTTCAGAAGGCATGTCAGAACTCCCCAGAAAAGGCGGACAACCTTCCTTCTGCCAACAGTGAGCCTTCCCTGCACATTATATGGCCTAGATGGAAGCACTGATGATTCTGGCTCCAGCCGGAACTGACCAGTGGCGCCTAAGGAACTGTAACTATTGGAAAACATTTGCTTGCTCATCTAGATGTGGGACATCAGCCTTTACACGCAATTATACAGATCGCATCCCATTACAGGTAATTGGGCCTTTACATTTTCCACTGCTCTTTCCACCCGCCTAGGGTTACACATAACAGGAATTTTCCAGAAGATGGCCTGATCCCACAGACTCCTCTAATAGAGGGCAAATGCTTTTTCCAGAGCCAGCCTCCCTGTCTGTGAAGAGGGCTCCTGATTGAGCTTTTTGTTTCTACCTCTATGACATCAACACCCTTCCCTTCTTCTGCTCCAGGCTTCAAAAACCCCAAATGGAGAGGCAGAGGAAGCTCCCCTTAGTCTCTAGAGTCCTTCCTACCAGCCCCAAGCCACTTGTGGAAGCCATACAGCACCCCAACTACGATTTGAAGCAGGAAGAAGAAAGACCAGGATGGGGTGCTATGCCCAAGGCTTCCCTCCTGTCTGCCCCATGGGAGGCTCCACAAGCAATGTGGGGAGCAGAGCCACAAGGAGAAAGCAGAGGACAGGGGAGATCTCTGGTCTCCCAGGGAAATGGGGAAGGGCTCCCCAGGGAGCAGCTCTGCCCCCACCAGATCCCCGGACCTTCTTCATCCGCAGCAAGCTCCTGATCACAGTATCCAGAGACTTCTCCGTGCCCCTCTGTGCAGCGAATGGAGAGACCAAGGGGCAAGAGCATGAACACAGATGATTCTTTCCTTTTAACAAGAAGAGGCAGTGAACAAGGTGACCCAATCCTAGCTCAGGTCTGCTCCAGCTCATGGAGTGTGACCTAGGAGAAGTCAATAAATTATCAGGACTTCCAAAAAGTGGAGATAATTGTTTCCTAGAGTACTGTGAGAATTAAGTGAAATTAATCAGAGCTTTGAAGGGTACCTGCTGCAATCATTTCTATTCCTCTTTATATTTTTAACAAAAATACAGTTATGCATGGCAAGGTAGGAGTATTCATAACATACTTAGCAAATTCTGTGCTGGGCAGGTAGGGTAGAGGTGAAGGGCCAGACTCAGGAGTCAGGCCCCTGGATATAACCCTGCTCCACCATAGTGACCTCGGGCAAATTGTTGACCCCTCTGTGCCTCCATTGTCTGGTCTGTAAATTGGGCATGATAATAGTACCCATTGCATTGGGTTGTTTTTAGTATTAAATAATATATGTGAACACTTAGAACAACTGGCCCCCAGTAAGCACTAATTAAATGTTCATGAATATAATTGCAGTTCTGATGCAGCGAAGAGGATGAGAGGCACCCACAGAGCCTTGAGACCACAGGGCTACACTGAAATGCCACCTTTCTCGGGAGCTCTTTCTAGAAACAGAGCTGGCAGAGGGTCACCGAGATAATATGCTGTCATTCCCACTGTTTCTCAGAATGTTTTAAGGGATCACGAACCAAGAGGTGAGACACTGGAGACTTGGAAGAAACCTCCCCTCTCTGACAGCAGAGTTAGCCCCGGCACCCCATCCACTGTTCTACTTTCTCTTGGTAGGGCCTGCCTGCTCCATCCTCTACCACAAATGAGGAGGATCAGAAGTTGTCCCACCATGGCTGAGCAGGCAGTCATCTCACACTTGGCTGAGACTGAGGAGCCCAAGACATGCAACTGGGTCAATTTGGGCCACAACCACACAGTACTGCTGCTAGTCCAGATTACTTCCTTCTTCTGGTACTATCTGGAAGAGTGAAATGGCATTTTCTGAGCACACAACACTGAATGAAATGCAGTCCAATCACAATCCAAAAGTAACAGAATCAGAATCTCCAGTGACTAGAAACTCACAGTTAAAGACACAGTAGTAGCTTGAGAATAAATTTATTCTTAATTAGTAAGTTAAGAATTATTCTTAAATAGTAACTTGATAAAGTTATTCCAGAGTTCCAAAGAATAGCAAGGAGAAATAAGAAAGACTTCTTAAGTGATCAAATGCAAAGAAATAGAGGAAAACAACAGAAAGGGAACATTTCATGCAAAGATGGGCACAATTAAGGACAAAGTTGGGCACAATAAAAGACAAAGTTAAGAATAAAGAATAAAGTAGTAAGGTAATGTCAATATTGCCATTTGCTTAAGGCACTTATGAGATTAGAATAATCTTTTTTTTACTCCCAGGAAAAGATTCATTGGAAAAGACCCTGATGCTGGGAAAGACTGAGGGCAGGAGGAAAAGGGGGCAACAGAGGATGAGATGGTTGGATGGCATCATCGATTCAACAAAGTAGTAACTTGATAAAGTTATTCCAGAGTTCCAAAGAATAGCAAGAAGAAATAAGAAAGACTTCTTAAGTGATGAAATGCAAAGAAATAGAGGAAAACAACAGAAAGGGAACATTTCATGCAAAGATGGGCACAATTAAGGACAAAGTTGGGCACAATAAAAGACAAAGTTATTCTTAAGTAGTAACTTAAGAATAAAGAATAAAGTAGTAAGGTAATGTCAATATTGCCATTTGCTTAAGGCACTTATGAGATTAGAATAATCTTTTCTTTACTCCCAGGAAAAGATTCATTGGAAAAGACCCTGATGCTGGGAAAGACTGAGGGCAGGAGGAAAAGGGGGCAACAGAGGATGAGATGGTTGGATGGCATCATCGATTCAACAGACATGAGTCTGAGCAAACTTCAGGAGATAGTGAAGGACAGGGAAGCCTGGCGTGCTGCACTCCAGGGGGTCTCAAAGAGTCAGACAACACCGAGAGACTGAACAACAAAACCCCCAGGAAAAAGTTATCCCTAAATGTTTTTTTCCCTTTTTGTGTCAAGGGCTGATGCTTGTTTGTAAGCCAAGGACACAGCCAAGGGGGCACTCAGGCTGGTGGGTTTAGATTCTGACCCTTTTCTAAGACTTGAATCAGCTGAGAAAGAAGAAAGACTTAATGCACCCCAGGGCCTGGAATCAGACACTGCTATTTTAAGACACGTCAAGATTTTGAAATGAATGGCTGAGGATGGAACCAGAGCACGGGAAGGCACCTCTTATTCTGATTCTTTGGTGCACCATCAGGATGACTGAGGTGCCAGGGGGTTCCAAGGCTCCCTTCTAGCAATAATGCCTCCCCTACCCCAGGCTGGCCCCCGCTGCAAGGACAATGCAGCTCCGGGTGTTTGCAGCTCCCCTTCCATGCAGAGATCCCAGCCCACCATCATCCCCAAGCTCTGCTGGGGCAGCAGCACTGACTCTATCACCCCTTCGGACAGGAGAGAGACAACTGTGCCAAGCAGCTGGAGTTCCCGCATCCTCGCCAGCATGCTGGCTAATTGATGACGTGGCAGCTTCACTGGCTGAGCGCGTCTATGTGGAGGTATTTTCAGAAGCAAAGAGCCCTCTCTGTGTGTGTGTGCCTCGCAGGGGGGAGCTGTGTGACTTGGAGGATATACGAGCTAGAACAGGGGCTGTCAGCTCTTCTGGGGATGACAGATGTCTCAGGGCAGGGTGGGAGGGGTGGGCGGGCCGTGGGGGGCGTGGGGGCCTCTGATCTGACAGCCCCGCCCCGTGCGAATCTATTCCGCAGACCCCACCTGAGCCCTGGTCTCCTGCCCTTGACCTTCATGGACTCTCTATATTCTCTCCCTTTTCCTTCCTGCCCCGTCTTTCCTCTTCCTCTGATTCCCTCTCGTGTTTCGTCTCCGTTTTTCTCTAGTCCCTTGTCGTAAGAAGTGTGGTCTGTGGCCCAGGAGCAGCACCATCACTGGGCAGCTTGTTGGAATGGAGACCATCAGGCCCCACCCTGAGTTTTGTTGGGATTCCAGGCACCGTCAAGTTTGGGACATACCATCCAGTCTCTACTCTCATTTCTCCTTCTCTGCCCTGAACCTCATCACAGTCTTTCCCCTCACCGTCCCACCCTGCCTCTTTGCCTTTTTGCACCCTCTGTTCTCTCTTTCTTATTGTTTCCTCCCTCCCTCTCCTCTTTTCTTCTTCCATTTTCTTATTTCTGATTTCTTTTATCCATTCATTTATCCATGAACTCACTTATTCTCTCTCTTCCATCTGATTCTCCATGTTTCCTTCTCTATTTCTGTCTCTTGATCCCACCCCTTTCTCCTCTTCTGGCTAAGGCTTAAGAGAAAACACAAAAATTCTTCCCTGCCCTCCTGCCCGCTCTCCGTCCTCGGTCTCGCCCACCTGGCCCGTCTCTTTCCCTTCCTCCAAAGCCCCGGAGCTCTAAGGTGGCTTCACGTCCCGCCAGAGCTCAGGGGTGTGGGAAAGCCCGGGCGGCGCCGCAGCGCGCAGCGGGCAGCCGGCGGCCGTACCTGCAGAGGGTTCTTTGTGCTGATGGCGATGACGTGGTACTTGTAATAGCAGAGCTCGCAGCTCCAGCAGCCCCGCTCGCTGATCCACTTGATGAGGCAAGGCTGGTGCGTGCACTTGACCGAGCCGGCGCAGCGGCACGGGCTCAGCAGCTCCCCCTGCAGGGAGAGAGGCGGAGGGTGGTGAGCCAGGGATCCGGTGACGTCGCTCAGTCGCGTCCTACTCTTTGCGACCCCATGGACTGTAGCCTACCAGGCTCCTCCATCCATAGGATTTTCCAGGCAAGAGTACTGGAGTGGGTTGCCATTTCCTTCTCCAGGGGATCTTCCCAACGCAGGGATCGAACCCAGGTCTCCCGCATTACAGGCCGACGCTTTACCGTCTCAGCCAGCAGGAAGCCAGACCTCAGCAATGGCGGGAAGGGGCGGGGAGTTTGCCGTCAGAGTTGGTTTTCCCCCCACCCTCCATGTCTCTGGCCAGGCAAGACCACAGACTTGGCTGGGAGGAGGCCTGGGCTCCAGGTTCCCAACTTCAGTGAATTCAACTAACAGTTCTGAGCTCCTGGCTTCTACTCGGTACTGCCCAAGTCCTAGGGTTTCTATGAAAATGAGTGAGAGTATCTCCATGGAAGCTCTCTGCCATCCAAAGTGGGTGTCAGCCTAGGTAGACTTCTCTTTAAAGGTACAGCCAGGGGTCTCAAACCCAAATGCTCTCAGGGGCAGACAGGCCACACTGTGACTGAAGCCAACTGGCAGGAACTGGAATGGACTGGCAGGTTGAAGAGACAGCCATCATCAGCTGCAGATGTGGGAATCTGTGTTCCAAGGAGGCAAGTGTTTATGCAAAATTTCCCCGTAGTCAAATGTCAACAGCACACCCAAACTTTGAATACATGTCATGAAGGTCATTTGGCCTGGCTTTAGAGTGCTGGACCTGAGACTTTGCACTCTTCTGCCGCACAGCCCATAGAGACCCAGATCCCCTCTGTGAAGCCTCTTGCCCCTGGTCCCAGAGTGACAAAAACGTGGCAGGCTTGGATCCTGGGGACCTAGGAGGCTGAGCAGATGCCCTCTCTGAAGGCCTGGGGCCCTCTTGGCATGTTCCCTGGGACTGGCTGGGAGTGGTTGGGAAGCCCAGCTTGGGGCAGGCTTCACTAGAAGCAGGGAAGCAAAGACAGTGCCAGAGTTGAGGCTCCTTGTGGACTGCAGGGCTGGACTCAGTCTCCAGCCTGTGACCACATGTCACATGACCACACACCGCATGACCACTCCCTGCTGGTCCTGATGCTGCGGGCCCCAGAGGGCCTCCCTTACCCCTTCTCTCCTCCCCCTCCCTTTCCCCTCTTTCTCCCTCCTCGCTCAGAGCCCGTCATTTCTACCTCCTTACTCCTGTCCACCAGCGCCTTCATTTATCTTCTCAGGGATTTTAGGAGTGGGTCCCACCCAACTCCCCAACCTCTGCTCCCTTCTGACCCATCCCAAGGCCCCCTTCCTCATTTCCCACGCCCTCCCTCCCCCAACTCATCTATTTTGAAGGAGATGCCTTCGGCCTCACTCCTGTCAAAGGACCCAGAAGCTGCCAGGTGCAGCCCCATTCCCTAAGCGCCATGCTGGTGTGTTTGCGATATGGCCACTGAAGCCATGTCCCTTTTAATTTGGTGATGGTGGTTTAGTCGCCAAGTGGTGTTCAATTCTTTTGCGACCCTATGGACTGTAGCCTGCCAGGCTCCTCTGTCCACAGGATGTCCCAGGCAAAAATACTGGAGTGGGTGGCCATTTTCTTCTCCAGAGGATCTTCCCGACCCAGGGATCGCATCTGCGTATCTTGCATTGCAGGCGGATTCTTTATCCACTGATCCACCTGGGAATTGGGGGATTTCACTATTCGAGGAACCACATCTTGTTCCCAACTTAGAATAAGCAGGCACAGGAGCTCCTGACCTATTAGTTACAGATATTTATTTGTGTATTTAGTCGTGCTCTTTGCTGTAGACTGTAGAAACAGTCCTTTTCTCCCAAGATGCATGGAATCATCTTTCCCTTTCTCTTCAACTCCTATCACTCAAAGACTACCCCTCAGCCTGGATGAGGTCTAGAGTGTTTTTCTGCACCTGGTATACCTGTCCAATTGCTTTTCTGTCTTCATGATGGTTCCAAAGCCACCTTCTACAGGGAGTTATCTCTGATTTCTCTAGGATGAGTGCAGTGCCTTGATCTCTGAGCACCTTATCAGTGTAACCTTCTGAGGCCCTTGGCATAAGCCTATCCGCTGCCCCATCAGAGGAGCCCTAGAAGGCAGGGATGGGAGGTTGTTCATCTTTGCATTCATTCTCACAGTGCCTAGCATACTCCCAGCAAGCCTTCAACAGCCTTTGTGTTTGAGCAAGTGAAAACATAATTCAAGTGTCTGCTCAGGTTTCCTGCCTGGGCCAGAAGAATGAAGATGAGACTGCCTATTCCATAACAACAGGAGCCATGTCTATCCAGTACTTCACTCAATGCCCAGCACTCCATATGTGTATGTATGATGAAGGAACCTGGTGACAGAAATGCTCAGGGTGCCACCACCTCATAAAATCCTCTCTGGTTCCCCACTCTGCTCCTCTTGTGTTGACAGGCCCCCTCACGGTGGCTGCAGGCCAGGAACCCTCCCATACCCACTCTGAAAGCACTTCCCCATGTGTGTTTGGGTCACTATACCATGACCTTTCACAGCAGCAATATGTATCTTATGTCCATCTTTGCATCCTTAGCACCTAGTGCAGTGCGTGAAAGAGATACTCATCCAACTTTGTGTGTGTGTGTGTGTGGCCATGCCACTTGGCATGTAGGATCTTAGTTCCCTGACCAGGGATCAGATGGAACTCCTGACCCCTGCAGTGGAAGCATGGAGTCTTGACCACTGGACTGCCAGGGAAGTCCCATACTCCATCCTACTTTAACAGTGCAGTGCATACAGAGCTGTTTGATGAATGAGAGGTTTCGCTCCTCCAGGACATGGCCAGCCTCTGGCTCCAGGTAGAGTAGGACAGGCAGGAGATGCCCACAATGCCAGGTGCTCACCACACCCATGGAGGCCTCCAGGTCTTCGGTAATAAGTAGTTGCTGTGTGGCTCTGAGAAAAAAATAGGAATGGGAGGGGGAGGAGAGGTGCTGAAGGAGGGGCAAAAGCCCTCGTTATTCATGGCAGCATCTCCTAGGCTCATTAATTCTAACAGGATGAGCTGGGTTTGATTAATCGGGTTGTTAGGCAGCCATGTCAGATTGCCAATCAGGAAAGAGACAGGACTTCCGGTCCCTGGCGACGGTGCCAAGCAGCGGCGAAGGCTGTTCTCTCTGCTTTCTAACACGGCAGCCATGAGACAGGGGAGGAAGAGCCGCTGGCCAGGCATAACTCACAAGACCTGGGCTCTCCACCGTGGCTCTGGATGGGGCACCATCCCTGGAGCCCCTGGTTATCTGGAGAAGGAAGGAGCATGACCTGGCCTGGTCCCAGTGCCTGGCCACAGACCATGAGGCCAAAGGTGTGCCATTTCCCCTGGAGCTCTCAGTCCCCCACACTTGCCCTGGTTTTGGACAACCCAAAAGGTAGAATAGAGACTTGCTTTGGGTGCCACAAACACTAGAAAGCAAGGACACCGAAGCTGTTAGAAAAATTTAACTTTGATGAAGAAAGTGATCCAGGATTTTAGAAAAAACAAATCTGCAAAAAAAGCTATTTTAACCTTGGCATTCACATAAGTTTTTTACTTTATGATTTGGCATATTTTTATGTACACTGGGGAGGAGGGCCATAATCTGTTTTGTGTTTAGGGCTTCTAAAAGGCCTTGATCTGGACCCTGAACCATCTTTGGCTGATCAACCTGTGTTTCTCCTGGAACAGGAAAGATGTGAGTGAGCCAAAGCCAGATAGATTCAGGTTAGACTGAAGGAGAATGTTCATTACGGTCAACTTTATTAAAAGCTAAAGTGGTGGAACATGGAAATGGAGGTGATAAACATCTCTTAATATAACAATGACTCCTTTAAAGAGAAAGGTTAAATGACCAACCCAGGGTCACTCAGCCAGCCAATGTCATGGCCAGAATGTAAAGCCAGGTCTTTCTGACATCAGACTCAGCTTCTTACCACACTCTGCTCATCCCCCTCTGTACTCTGGTTCCTGCTGTCCCGTGCACATCTGCACCATGGGTCTCTTCTTGTCTCTCCCTCCCTGCTCCAGCACCAGCCCTTTCACCAAGTCTCCCACTCTGGATCTATTTTCTGTCCCTGCATCATGACCTACAGTTCAGCCCTTAATCACTCTTCACTTGTTTTCTCTAGGCTTCGGAGTGATCCTGCATACCCCACAGGACCAGGCACAACATAGTTACACAATAAAGGTGCATTCATAGGCTGGATGGGCACCAGGGTAAGGCAGAGGATGAACCCCACCGGCCCAGCTCCTGAGGGTCCAGCCTTTGGGCTGGAGGATTATGACCATCTTGTCTGCAGTGTTCAGCAAACTCCACAGATCAAAGGGGCTCATTAAATGCAAAGGGCACCAGACACTTCCTGAATGATCTGCTCAGAGCTCTGGGGCCCAGAGACCACCCTGGGAATGACTAAGTCAAGAAAAATCAAATCCTCTCTAATCCCCTGGCCCCCATGGGCCACAGTGTAAGGGAGGGGTAAAGAACACAGTGTTTGAAAACTAACCCCTTAGATTTAAATGCATCCTTTCTTCCTTTTTACATGTTTTTTTATTGTGGTAAAAGCCACATAATGTAAAACATATACTGTCACCATGTTTAACCGTGCAGTTCAGTGGAACTCGGTACGTTCACATTGCTGTGCAAGTCTCACCATTATCACCTTCCTAAACTGAAACTCTGTCCGCATTAAACACTAACTCCCCATACCCCCCAGCCTCCAGCCCCTGGCATCTACCGAAGTACTTTCTGACTGCATGAATTTGACTACCCTAGGTACCTCATGTACGTGCGTGCTAAGTCGCTTCAGTCGTGTCTGACTCTTGGACCCTATGAACCGTAGCCTGCCAGGCTCCTCTGTCCATGGGATTCTTCAGGCAAGAATACTGGAGTGGGTTGCCATGCCCTCCTCTAGGGGATCTTCCTGACCCAGGGATCAAAACTACATCTCTTACATCTCCTGCATT